CAGGAAATGACACAAATGCTCCGGGACTTTTCTTCTAACTTGTAACCAGGTGTTTGTTGGGCTTGGCGGCCATCAGGATTAGAGGGGGCTCAGCTTCAAAGCTTCCGTTGTGGCTCTCCACCCTGAGCATGCGCCGTGGGGCTTAGATGTCCAGGATGTCTTGTGTGTGGGCTTCAACCTGTGAAGCTCCCTGTTGTCTGCTTTTTATCAGCTGCGTCCTCAACAGGGTCTTCGGTTAACAGCCAGAGTTATGAAATTAACACCTGGGACACAGAAAACCATGCAGGGTCAGTTTTACTGGCATTGCCAGCACCTGGCATGAGTGTCCCCACAGCTGTCCTTCCCCCGAGAGGGGGAGGGGGTGGGACTGGCTACCTTGAGGTTTCGTCTTTGCCAGGATGGTCCAGACAGTTTACTCCTATTTCATGGACATTTCACTCTTTCCCTCCACTAGTTTGCATCAATTCAGTTTCTTAATGCAGTTGCTACTCAGATAAATACTTTTCGTAGTCAAATAGTTAAAGACTCTAATTTTTTTATGCCAGTGAGATGGAGACTGAACACTGACATGGCACATTTTCCGCCCATCAAGGGGCATGCTGTTTGCTGCTTCCATTAGGCAAATTAGTGGCAGTTACATACTCTCACACCGAGGAGGAACTAGACTACTGAATATGTATTTGGTAAACAGAAATGCAGTCGGTGCATCTGTTTCCTTAACAGAACGTGGCTCTGCTGCACTGTACAATTCAACAAACTGCTCCAGAGCAAAATTATTCCTTAGAAGAACTTTCACTTAATCAGGATTCAGAAAGGAACATGGAAACTTTTAAGATCTCCGTGTGGTCCGTTGCACACTCCTGCTGAGAGGGGAAAAAATATCGGTGATCTGATACCTTAAGATCCAAAAGGCAGGCACAGTTCAGATATTGTCCACATTACCAGAGTGTCAAATCACACGACCTTGCCTGAGAATGTGGGAATGGGGGGATTTAAGTTATAATATTTTCTGCCTTGGGACAGCTTGCATCCTCTCACTTTGTAAACTAATGTTTTGGAGGCAGCCTCTTACCCTTTTTTAAAGCCAGCCCCTTCTCTCTGGAAATCTATCTCTTTCTAAGGTGACCCAAAACTGACACAGTGCCAGGCATCGGAGTCAGGGAAAATGTGGTTAATGACACTGAGGGCACTTATTCTGAGAATGAAAAATGACCGAGTATTTTGTGTGAGGTGGGACATTATTCGTTCATAGCAAACTTAAATCTTAAGCCTCTGGGGAAAGTGACAGCATTTCTTAGTCATGGCTAATATAACCCAGGAATGAGAGCATCGTTGCATAACTTTTAATTCATGTACCTGTTTTGCCCAAACCTTTTAAGAAATGCATCTAACTTTGCTTGTTAAATCAGGAGAAGGTAGAGCATTATTCAAAGTAAAGCCCAGTATAGGAAATTCAGATAAAAATGGCTGAGTCTTTTTTTTTTTTCTTGTCAGAGATTTATGACTGTCTCTATTTTGGGTCTTCCTTAACTCTCTCTCTGGATTATTTCAGGAGCCTCTTCATTGGTCTGGAGCCTCTGTTTCTTTCCCTTCACCCCACTCTGTCCCTCTCACTGCTCTGTGGATGGTTGTCATGAGCTCGGTTCTAGAGGTCCTGACTGGGGGTGTCCTGGATGGTCCCCCGTCTTCTCTCAAGTTGGCTTCACAACCCCGTCTTTCACCATTTTATTCACACCTCCTGCAACCACTCCCTCCCAGTGGAACTTCTCCCTCCTCCCCTGAGCATGTTACACTTTTTAATTCTGTCCCTTTGTTGGCCCTGGTCCGTCTGCCAGCCACATCATCCCTGTGGCGACAAGCCCAGTCCCACATCCACTAAGGAACCAGCCTACGTACCACCTTCTCACCATTGCTTCCCAGACACCCAGCCACCGCCAAGTCAGGAGTCATTCTTTGACCTTGGATAGCACCTTGTCTGTTGTATCGCTCTTATAGCAGGTGGCTCTTCTGTTTACTTGAAAGGTATATGCATCTCCTGACCTAAGTTCTTCAAAGGCAGGGTCTCTCTGTTTAATGTAACTATTTGATTCCATTTAGGCAACCTTGTTACTCAAAGCACGATGTGCTGACCGCCCCGGCATCAACATCTCTTGGGAGCTTGCTAGAAATCCAAAATCTCAGTCCCAATCCCAAATCTGAATAATTAGACCCCACATGTTAACACGTCCCCCTACCATCCCTGTCCGAGATGATTACAACACACCTGAAACTTGGGGAAGCTCTACTGTGTTAGATCGCACAGACCCTGGTGTGAAGCAGGGGCCCCGTGGGTATCTGTCCAATGAATCAATGGCATGAAAAGATGAGGTTGTTCTCATTGATTTCTGGAAAGATTATCTCATAATCAAACATGGAAAATGTAACCCAGCGTACATCATTTTTCTGTGACCATTTTTAGTCTTAAATCAGGGAGACCCTTTTCTCCTTTTAAAATGCTTTTTTAAAAATTTTCTCTTTTTATTAAAATGTAGTTGATTTACAGTGTTAGTTTCAGGTGTATAGCAAAGTGATCCAGTTATACATATACATACATATATATTTTCTTTTCAGATTCTTTTCCATTACAAGTTATTACAAGAAGTTGAATATATAGTTCTCTGTACTATATACTAGGTCCTTGTTGTTTATCTATTTTATATATAGTAGTTTGTATCTGTTAATCCCAAACTCCTAATTTATCCTTCCCCCTGCCCTTTCCCCTTTGGTAACCATAGTTTGTTTTCTATGTCTGTGAGTCTGTTTTGGTTTGTAAATAGATTTTGTAAATTTTTTTTGTTTTTTAGATTCCATATATAAGTGATATATGATATTTGTCTTTCTTTGTCTAACTTACTTTACTCAATATGATAATCTCTAGATCCATCTATGTTGCTGAAAATGGCATTATTTCATTCTTTTTTATGACTGAGCTTTTTTTCCTTTTAAAAATCTTTGATTTCTTACTTTTGGGTCACCTTGGTAGTTGTTTGGTTTTTGGTCTTTGGGGTTTGGGGGGGTTTGGGTTTTTTGGGGTTTTTTTTCATTTTTAAAAAGTTCCCTCCCAGGGTAGTATTGGTCTTAGGTAAATAAATATAGAGGAAAGCTTGCTAATTGGGTCTAAATGTAGATTATGTGCAAAAAAAAATGGCTAATGTCTGAAAATAAGCACTCGTGTGGCGTGTACCATGTTGTCGTGTTGGCAGCTGTTCCTTCAGGACCAAGTCAGTGACAACTGAAGGCTAGGGGGATGTTCTCTGTCATGGGGTCAAAAGCTGAGTGATCCAGTTCACACAGATTTGCTAATAGCCAGGGAAGGAGATAGAAGACGATGTGATGTGCTGAGACTTTGAAAGCACTAAAGAATTTGATATTAAGTATCCTGAGCTGCTTGGGAATAAGAGGAGAGCAGGGAAAGACTTGTAACATGAGGAGGAGTCTTGCTGACAGTTCAGAGCAGTCAGAAGTACCACCCACGGCGGCATATGGTAGGAACTCGTGGGACCACTGCTGCTTGTCACGACAGCGAGAGGGTGGCATTGCACAGGCGCAAGCCAGGGATGCCCCGCGATGCGTAGTATTGTTTCACACTGTGAAGAATTGTCCCTTGTGACCATGACTTTGGAACACATTGGCCAGACATATCCGGGGGTGAAAAACTGTTTACATCACAAACCTAAAGTCTAAACCTATTTTATATTTTAGTTATTTGTATTTTATATAAAAAAATAATTTATATGAAAGCTTATGTATTTATATTTTATAAAATGTGTATAATAATTAACACATAGTATGTATTACATATATAATTTAATATAATATATAGTTATATGTACATATTATATATATTGTATTTTTATATGTATACAAAAAGCATTTTAAATACATGCTGATTTTTCCAGGTATGCAACCACCATGTTGATTGAGAGGTTATTATTTGTTTTGTTTAGAACTTTACTATACGTTAATTTCAGAAAAATAATGTCACTGCTCCTATCAGTCTGCATGGGTAGCTATTGAATTCATCCTGGTCTTACCTACAGGTGTTTGCATCCGCCTTCTGACATCTGCTGGTGTGAGTTGTACCTGAAGCGTTTGTATATTGAAGTGCATCTTATTTGTTATGAATTTCTCTTATTTCTCCTTTATGTAATTTAGGTTAGGACATGCTATTGATTTTTTTTTGCTAATTGTATATAACCAGGCAGTTTTTTTTTTAATTAATTACATCTCAGGATATAAAAAGAGGCGTGGGATCTGATAGGTGTGAGAAGCTGTCTGATGTAGATGGCTCATTAGTTCTTGGCTAAAGATGGTGAAGGCTCAGACTCAGTCAGGGGGTAGGAATGGGAAGAGTCACAGCCCCCAGGAGGAGACGCTGAGCGAGAAGCACGGTTTGGGGTTGCTACGGGGGATGCGTGTATAGGGCAGAAGGGACCATTTCGTGGTGCCAAGCCCTCCCGTGCTACTTTTACTGGGTGGCCTTGGTCAGGCTCAAGTTTCTGCACATCCTTGTGGGGTCAGAGTGAATATTAGAGATAATGACCTTAACTTGGCAGAGAGGTGCAAAAATATTGAAAACCATAAATACTATATATAATGACCCCAATATCATCTAACTCTGAAAATGGCAAATAAAGAAGAGATAACATTAGCTTCCAGGGAGGTCGGCTGAGTTTTCTGTGATTCCTCAGGGCTGGATTGGGTCCAGGCTCAAAAACCCAGGTTCTTTAGGTTATTCGGACACCCGCACCCAACCGCAGGTAGAACTCCTGATTTGAACCACTTTCTCCCTTTAAAAGCCCCCAGACTTGTTTCACCCACAAGGGACCCTTGCATCGAATTACAAACCAAGCATCCTACAATCCCTCCAGCAACCGTGTGACTTTCTCGAGGCAGCTTCTGTCTTTGACACCTGTTAGTTATTGTTAGTGTTTAGTCACTGCAGTTTTAGGCAGGAGGAGGAGATGGGAAGATGGATTTCCCCAGGCGCGCTCTTCCTACTGGTCTCCCCAGGACCCACCTGGTGCTGAGCTCCATCCTGCAGCCCCGGCGCCTTTCTCTCTGGATTCCAGCTGTTCGCTCCTTTGGAGGCTTCCCCAGAATCAAATCTCCCTCTCATCCCAGCTTCCCTCCCCACCAAGCCATTCCTGTTTTCCTTCTCTTTGCGCCCTGGGAACTAATGCAAACTCTCAATCTAGCCACAACTTCTCCTAGAAATTCTTCACTAGTTTGTTTAATTTCAGATACAGGCGGATGGCCTTCCCAAGTGCTCCAGACCTTTATAAGAATGGTTTCTGCTTGACCTGGGGCATCCCTAAGGCTATGCAAATAGCAGTGCTCGGCTGCCTCTTCCCCTCCCTCCCAGGACATCTTGGGGGATTAAAGGAGACAATGTGAGTTTTGTGAGACACTGTGAGTTACTATTTTGCATTAAAATTTCATTTAAATAATAATGAAATGAGTCTCCTGCTTTGTCGTGCAAAGAGATGGTGTCTTATTCAGTTCACTATCTGAAGAATTACTTCAGATTTCCTTTGAAAGTTAAATGCTAGTCATTAGAAAAGTGACCAGGTGGCCCCAAGTCTATTAACACCTTCCTGTCCATTCTTTTTCTCTTCACAACCTCTTTAGTCACTTTTCACAGAGTGTTCACAAGGGTTCCTCCTGTTCTGTCTTTGGCAAGATTGTCTTCAGTTACATGTGGTATAAAGACATCTCTCTCCTGTCCAGGTACAAAGGCTGCTCTCTTAGCATTTCATGCATGGTTCCTTTCAACTGTTGCCTGCATTTTGGGCAGGATCTGCCTTCATAATGCTGCTTCTAA